TGGCAAGAATTGGAAACGCTACCGTTACTAGTGACAAACGGTTTGGCCGCTTTCAATAAATTTTGGTCTGTAGAACCGGTGACACCTTCCATACAATGGGTATTCATATCTTGGGGTCGAAATTACAGAAGATAATTTTGAGTTATATAGAAAAACATATGTACTTCGTATTATATACATTAGTTTATATATTTACATTTAATTCTAGGTGACATACAGAAAATCAAATCCAAGCTTGTGCAGTAATGTGTCAAAGCAGATGGTTGGCATTGATCAAGTTAGATTGATAATCGAATTCGTTTATATTGATCAATGTCTTCCATGGAAAGGCCAACTCCTTGGAATATGGATGTCAGATTCTTCCATTCTGCATCAAACTCCTTTGTTGACATCCTTGGAGTCGCTGTGTGTGCAAGCTTTGTATTTCTGTAGTGATGGATATTAACTAAATTTGCCAGTTCGCTGTCAAGCTTTTCATCTGGTTGTGACCAAAACGAATCCGGAAGTGGATTGCCGCAGTGGCAGTAGCGAATGATTTTGATCATGATTGAAATATCAAAGTCATTAATGTCTGCATTTGGTGTAAACATTTTGTTCCTCTGGTCTTTAAACAACCTTGCTTCTTTTGTAAATCTACTTTTCATACTCATCAGAAACTGTCCAGCATCTCCCTCTTTCAGATTGTGAACTCGTAGAAAGTACTTCCTCATCACATGTGTACCAAGGCCAACAACAAGTAACATGATCGTTTGGAAGTTTTGCATTTCTTGAATTGCAGTCTTATCAAAACCTATTGAAAGGAAAGCAACAAAGAAAGTTAAGAGTACAAAGAAATTTTAAAGAGGACAATAAGAGAGCATTTTCAGATAAGAATTCTATTCATTTATTGTTTACCTTTTCTAAGGCGCACGTCTTCGATGTCTATAGATGGAACACCAAGATCCAAGAGGATTTCTTTTACTTCTTTCCACTCCTCATCAAAATCCTTGGCTGGTATTTTACAACTTGTATTCCCATCTAATTTAGTGTTTTTATACTGTTGGATACGGATAAGATTTGCGAGTTCGGGATTATCTATTTTATCCGGTTGATCCCAGATGTCATCGGGATACGTGAATCTACAACAGTAACGGATCAATGTTATCAGGATGTCAATGTCAAAAGTATTAATGTCTGCATCTGATGAGAACACTTTATCTTGGAAGTCCGCCATACTTGCAAAGCTTCCGTTTTCTTTCTCATTCTTCAAGAATTCGACAACAGATGAGCTCGTTTGCTGTGTTGTTTTTAAGAAGAATTCCTTCAACTTCCTCGTTCCAAGTTCAATAATCAATGATTGAACGGCCTGAAAATTCTTGATCTCTTCGACAAATTCTAGTTTTAATGGAAAGTAAATGTAATAATTATATTAAAGATAATTGCATTAGAATTATTATCATCATTTCACCATGATTCTTATTTCATTTACTTCAAATCAACATTTCGTCACTAACCTGTTGAAAACAGTCTTTTGAAACGAAACGTCTTCATTGACATCTTTCCGCACGAAACCTTATCTTGTTTCAGACAATCCTCAAGATCATGCAGATGAGGTTGCTGTGTTGGTTGACATACGCTGCACAAGACGCGTAGCTTGTAGCCGATCCCTTCTGTTGTACCATACACAGTCCTCAGTTGATTCTTCAGGTAGTTTAATACCTAAATAACAAAATATTATTATTTTAAATTCATGGCTTATTTTCAATTGTTTTGTTCCATTTAACAATAGCATGGAAGTGTTTTGTTCAAAGTGAATCTTATATTTTGTGGGAAATGGCAGTAAATAACAGTGGTATTACTATTGTTTTGTTGCATGTAAATTCTATTTTCCTCATCAGAGCTTATATTATAGACTACATAAGATAAAATAATTATTAGGTTCGGCAAAACATCATTTTTAATGGTTTTCCTAATGTAAAACACCTTAAAAATGTTACTGTAACTATTATTAGTATTAATTTGAAAATATTAGAAGATGAACTATTGTGGGACAGTATTCTAACAGTTAGACCATATTGTTCTATTTATTTATAGCGAAATGCCACAATATCATGAATTTTAAGCGAGCAAGACTTAAGTCAAACATTTAGCTGTTCTGCTTACCTCCATGCAGACACTGGGATGTGGTTCATATATTATTTCTTCATCATTTGCATCTACTTCAATCCGATGCGTTATTTCAAACTGTAGGGAAAAAGTGACTTATCCTATTATTTGTTTTAT